TTGCATAAAGTGCAATTAATTTGTCATATCGTGTGATATATCTACTCAGCTTCATTGATCCAGATATAAATAGTAGTTTATCTACGACTAACTTTCCAAGTAGAGTGTAAAAAACAGTACAAAGTTGAGTAACACTACTGACTACTTTAGAAAAACAATAACAGTAATTACATTACTACCCAAAAGTAATTAAACTACTAACTACTTTATAGTAGTAGTTAAAAATGTATTTACTTACACATTATTAGTGTTTATTTTGAATTTTTAAAAATTGAAAACCAATTTGGTTTCAAAGATTTTATTAAAAAAAAAAGAAAAATTTCTATGAAACAAAATATATAAAAAAAAATAAAACAAAATTTATGAATTGTTTTCTTTAACAATCCTTCATAATATACTTTATTTATTCAAAATCCACACAGGCTTTTTAGCCTATTACATGGATAGTATGATTTATTAATAATATGAATAAATATAATAAACTACTTTTTATTATAGATTAACTGTAATGGCATAAAGTATAAATATCATGATAAATAGTAACTAAAAGTACACAAAAACTACACAATGTTGCCAAACAATATCAAAATTATTTGAAAATATTGTATAATAATTGTTTTTCGATATTCTTGATATATGATATAGTATAGTCTAAATTACGCTATATATTAATATTATTGGTTAGAAGTATGGAAAGTATGGAAAATTAGTAGAGGCTATTTGGAATTTGAAAATTAAACCACAACAAATGCTTTCTTTACTTTCACTTCTGAAGCTCTATTTAGCGATGTTTCATTCATGTTATAATTAAAAAAAAAAACAGGCACCCTTTTACGACATTACAAAGCATTTGTTTATATTAAAATTTAATTTATTTAAACTCCATTGAAATATTGTAATCTGGCACGCTACACATCCTTTGTTTGGACCTTCTTTAACATCTTAAAATAATCTGCAGAGATTAAACAATCAGAGAATTTAACAAAGTAGGTGAGGTAGATTATTGATAAATATAAAAAATCAAAGATCCAAGGTAAGATCATTGCAGGGTGACGTAAGCAATTTTGACACTATTAATAATAATTAGTTCTATAATACCATAATGCATCACCACATAATTTTATGATTAGTTTTTATATTTGATTCATTATACCTGAAACATGATTTAATTAAAATTGAAACGCCATATTTTTTATTGAAATAATTTAATTGTAATATTATTTTTATTTGGTTATTAATTTAAATTTATTTATATGAATATATTTTATTTGTTTATTACATTAAGAGTCATAATTTAATGTATTTAAAATTTACGAAGAATATTCTTACTTCCTTGGCCATTTACTCATGTATATTTATTATAAAATATAGTTTTGATTTCTCTTAATTAACTGAGAGCACATATACCTCTTATCTCGTGTAATTGTTTCTTGTATTCAAAATATTATAAATATTATTATACTAACCATATTTTAATTATCGGTAATCCTATGATTTAAATTATCTAGGCTAGTTAAATTCAAAAAAACAGACTTATAGTTATTGATTAGATGAACTTATATTGCAATTGTCGCGTATCAGTCGTTTCGGTATCTTTGAATATGTTTGCAACACTATATAGTCTGGAGAAGAAATGAGTGCAGTAATTTAATTTGCGAAACGTAGTACAGGTTTAAGAGGTAGACATTTTATTTATACTTTATCCTTCAATGCTTATTTGAAGGTAAAATAGAAATTTTAAAACATCTGATCGACCTAATAAAAGTTTTAGTTTAGATTTAATTATGTTTTTATTTTTTACTGTAACAAACCTTTTCTTTTGACAAATAAGTTAGATTTTATTTATTTATAGCCCAATGTTATGTATTTTAATTGATTCAGAATTTTGTATTAGTATATAATATAATTTTATAGTTATATAAGAATGGTGAGTGCATTAGAAATTATTGCAAGCACAAATATGCGTAAACGATCTAGAGGACGTAAAGCATTATCTTTAGAAGAGAAAGATATCGAACTTAATGTATTTAATATTCTTAAAAAATACTGTTTTACTTTCTGTGGATGAAATAGCGTACCTATATACCATTTTATATGCCGTGACCTTATGTATATTATAGAAACTTATTTTTCAAAGTACGCCTATGAAATGTGACGTTATATTCCCACTTTTACTATACTACTCTTTTATTCAGACTGCAGTTTAGGTAATTTTCTAACAAATTATTATGAATTTCATTTTAGACCTCAAAATTTTATTCGCTACTACTTATTTCTATATACAGTTTTTTATAAAAAATAATTTCTTGTACATATGCAATATTCTTTATCTTTTTTGTTAATCATCAATTAGTTACAATTATCTCGTATCAGCTGTTTCGGTATCTTCAAATATGTTTGACAAATATGTAAAATCAATATCTTTATGTTGACATATGGAGTAATATTCTCGAATTTTTGCTAATCATCACACGCTACATCGTTAAAGATAAATATAGAATTTATCTTCCCCCGATGAGGGCTTGTAATTTATTCATTACCTTTGAACGGAACATGCTTTTGACTTATTTCTGCACGTCTTACAACATCTAATATTTTGGTTGATATATCGACTCTCTAGGTGTGCATATTATTATATTTACCGTATTTATTTGACTTGCACTGTTAAAGTCTAAATTTTTAATTGAAAGTGACTGGCCGTGTTGAATTACCTTTATCATGCGTTGTAAAACAATAGTAGTGATGTATAATAAATAGATGTTATCGCAAATTTTTCATCAAGTCTGCAATAAATTGTTTGCCAAAAAGAAATATTTGCAACTTAGTTATTTTAAAAGATATTTTATTATACTAAACTCACCTTTAATATTTCTATATTTTTATGATAAAATTTTGAATAGCACTGATAATATTTTCTCAAAACATTGTTTATCAATTTTTATAAAATTTTAATTTCAAAGACCTGTCACGTCATTACTATTTTAATTTATTTCATGTTAAAGTATTTCTTTCTTATTGCAATCAAATTCTTTTTTTTAATATTGACCATTACAGTATATTGTATGAAGGATAGGGGAATCGACCTTATGTACAAAAAATTTGTGTTTTATTTTCAAATTTAAATTTTCTATATTTATATCTGTCAATGCGTATACTAAAAATATCTACACTACATTTACCCCGAATTGACTTTTCCTGGAAAGTGCATCCCCTTTCGGGTCAACGACTGGAATCCATTTATATAGGAATCCGACAGCCAGACGATACGATTTAAGAGATAGACAGCTGCCGAAAGTATCTAAAAGACTTCGAATCTAGAGTGTATTACAAACCAATCGATAGTTGCGTGTACCTCTACACGCTATTGGAAAATATATGTTTGGTACGATAAAACGGCAATCTTAGACACGTAAAGAAAATTACTTAATTTGCAGATAACGTAGGCAATAAAGTAGGATAGGGCGTATAATTTAATAATTCTTGTATAGCTTCTCTTTCTAAAATAGGAAAAGTTTGAACTTGTAGGTATATTTAGAATAATTGAATTTTAAAAAACCCTAACTATAAGTAGTAGAAAGTAATAACACCGATCTAATCTTGGATTTCAAGCAACTTGACACAAATACTATCCACTTAAATTAGTAACATTTCACCCAAGACTTAATTAAATTGTCGAAAACGTCACATGGAATCCTTTCGCCTTCCTATCTTCCCTTACAAACCGCATCTAAAATTACAAATTAATACCCTTTCTCACTTCAAGCAGACCTTCGCCGGGATCATTTTATCCCGATATACCCTTGTCACACATCATTTGGCATCTCACGCCTCTATTCCTACATCCCGGTTTTATTTCATTGTTTCCGATACATCCTAGTCGATCTGACTCTAAGCCATCTGAGCTGGTTAAATTAATTTGAGGTTGGGGCAAGGTAAAAATTTGGTTTGCATCAGATGTAATGACTTCATACAATATACTGTAATGGTCAATATTAAAAAAAAAGAATTTGATTGCAATAAGAAATGTACTTTAACATGAAATAAATTAAAATAGTAATGACGTGACAGGTCTTTGAAATTAAAATTTTATAAAAATTGATAAACAATGTTTTGAGAAAATATTATCGGTGATATTCAAAATTTTATCATAAAAATATAGAAATATTAAAGGTGAGTTTATTATAATAAAATATCTTTAAAGTATTCGATGACATCTATTTATTTTACATCACTACTATTGTTTTACAACGCATGGTAAAAGTAATTCAACAACACCAGTCACTTTCAATTAAAAATTTAGACTTTTATAGTGCAAATCAAATAAATACGGTAAATCATAACAAAATTCCTTATAACGATAATATGCACACCTAGAGAGGGTGCGGTTATCATTGCTATTCAATCCAAACGGTCAGAATTTTAAAAATTCGCTCGGATTAGGAAATCTTTCTATTGTATTATATTTCCAAAAACAAGCGATCCCGGACAGTCGGATTTTTTTTATCAAGCGCCTCGTTTGTTTTATGCAATGGTGCAGATACCCCGAAAACCTTATTACTACATTGTATTATTGTAGGAACGAAACGATAGAAAAAATATAAACTTACCGACATCCGACATGTGTCGGTAGGTATGACACGAAAGAACGATGCACTACATGTTGATAATGTGGATAATTTGAAGATCGAAGAGCGACTGGAAGAAGGAATTATGCGTTCTCGTTCGTTCGACAATAATAATTGTCCTACATTTTATTTAATAGCAGTTGGTAATTTTAGTTTAATAACATTTTAATTTTCTAATATACTTTTCGCAATTCTTTGAATTATATTACAAATTATTTTAAAATAATTAATTTTTTTTATCCTAATTTCCATAATACTTTATACTTTTTGATTTAAAAAATCAACGAACGTAAACCCGTTGAATAGAATAAAATTTTCCTTTCGTCAGAAAACCCAATGGCACAAAATAAAATCGAAAAAAAAAATTCTATTTACCGGAACTCGACGAATCCCTGATGCAGTAACAACGCCATAAAATCGCCGGCCATATCGTCCCTCTCGCCCGTCAAGAAGAAGAGTCCGTCGTACGCTTCGGGCCGCAGCTCCAGGCTGAGCTGAACGTGCTTGTAGGCCCCTCGTAAAGCCGGGAAGGCCAGCCAACTGGAACCCGTAAACCTCGGCGATTGGATCTCCTTTTCTGTAACAAACAAAAAATTCGGTTAAAAGCTTCCTTCCAAGTAGATTATAAATCAAAAAGAAGTGGCTGTAAGGTTAGAGGAATGTGGATAAAATGGAGGTATGTCATCGTTTTCTGGGGGTAAGGATGAGGAAATGCTGTTAAAATATCGTAAAAAGTGAGTGTGTAGGTCACGGTAAGAGCAAAAGAGTTAGCGTTAAAACCCCATTGTTTATTAAATAATAAAGGTCTATATTTTTTCAACATTTATAGGAAAAACAAAATACAGTAATTTAAAAATGAATTAAAATAGGGTGTAAACAAGAGAAATGGAGATACATTTTGTATTTGTATCGTACAATAAGGTATAATCATAATTCTTAGAAAAATTCTAAACACTAATATCATTGTATAAATATATCTAGTAAGTCAATGCTTTTGAAGAAAAAGTTTGATTTTATTATGCTCGTCACATGGCGGTTCCAAGCGGACAGTAGCGCAAATTAAAAAAAGTCATAAGCAGAAGATAATTTTCTAGATTCCGGTAAAAGAAGTTGGGAGTGTTTGTTCAACCGTATAACGTTGACATTTTGCGAATTTTTTGGATCGTACATCGTCTCTATTTCGCTCTATTTTAATAAAATTGTCAACTATCGAAAAATAGTTTACCAGCTTTATAATTGCGATTTATTATAAGTCGCTTAGATGGTCTTTAAGTTGGTGGTCTACCATATTACGCATATTTTATGTTTGACGTAGGTATTTAACATTTTTGTCTTTATGTAGGTAAATCGCTAATTTTGTCATTCATCTTCGTATAAATATGATGGAAACAATAAAATCCTATGAATGTTTGTTATCCAGGACCGTAATTTATGAAATTATTATACTTATAGAATGTAGGTAGGTAGTTTGGATAAAAAAAATTGTTAATATAAAATAATATTATAATTAATAACAGACAAGATTTTTAAATAACCTAAGTACCAGCCTCTTACAATAATTATTAGCTTTCTTGGGGGAAATAACTACACGTGCAGAGGTTATTTATTATTAAATTATAAATGTATTATTATTAAACATTTTGTTAGGTATAATAAGTAGGTACATTAAAAATATAAGGAAAATGAGGAATTAATTTATTTATGTATTTTGCACTATAGACAACTTTACATTTTTTTACTGACTTGAAGTTTCCTCGTTTTCTTTGCCGCTTCTAATTTGGACCGGTTCTTACAATATTTGAAAATTTTAGTTGTAATTAATAAATCTAACATATACTGTCTGTGTTTCACACAGTTACTATTACAGTTACACCATTCTGCTAAAAATGTTTTTATTTTTTCAATTATAATTTTTCGCAAATTATAAAAAAATGTTTGGTAAAATATTCTTCTTTCTTTTGCGTGACAGTTTGTAGCGATATTGTAGCAAATTGGCCCAATAATGATGATGGACATTTTAGCCCATATTGCTCGTTTAGATTATAAGTTTTATAAAAAATGAGTGGTGTTCATCATTCAAAACATTTTCTTTTTCTTCGAAATAATTTTGTCACTCCTAACATTTAAATTTTTTTACGCATTTTTTTATTAAGTAACCAGCAAAAGTACATAGTGAAAGATTCTTCTAATGTTACAAGAAGAGCCTTCTCTAATGAAATATTGGTTTTAGAACTCTTATTGTATTCTTCATTTTCTGTATCTTCATCATTATGAGGCTCTATTAAAAACGTTTAAAGCATTACCAGACCCCAGGAGATTTTGGTCTTCATCCTGATTCGTTCACGAATTTGCTTTAAGTGGAGGCCTCATGAAATTATGAACGATATTTAGCTTAAAAGCTGCTTTGAAACCCATAACAGTAGGATGTCGATTAAAACTCCCTTTCTGCCTAGACAGAAAATTGGTTTTCTAATGGATCCTGAATTAGTATTCCTGTTAATACATATTTAAATTGAGTTCGCGTAATAATATAGGAATAAAACTCTTTAACCGGCATCTATGGTAAGCAGAAAACCATCTCGTTAATTTACCTTTGGCAGTTTGTTCAGCTATATTCTTTAAAAGTTTGTATCCTTGTGTAACAGCATTAAAATCACCTCTTTATTCTCAATATAACACGATAGGTTACAAGGTTTTGAACTATATGCAGAAGAACTATTTAAGCTGCATCAAATAGGTTGTTCATTGTTTCAATAAAATAGGCTGTATTTTCAGCCGTTATAGAAACTAAGTCTCCAGTTCTTGTTGCCGTTTTAATGGTTATAGCTACAGAATGGTTAAATAACTGAGTAGCGAGCAAAGGTTTTTTAAAGTGATTTTTAATGAAGCTGTTCCAGATTTACTACGTTGGTCCAGTTCATAAACCTATTTAACATCAGCAAATCTGATAAATTGGCCATTGAAGATAAAATAATCTTGTAATCTTATTTTGAACGCATTTTACTAGGCCAGGCACATAAAAAATTAATTGTTTTCTACTATGGCAAATTTAGGGTTGTCTACAGTAATGCCCAAAGATCTATAGACTTTTTGGTTAACTGTAGATAAATCACACACTATTCCTATAGGTTCCAAACCTGAGTCTCGAATATGTGTTAAATAATCCTTTAATAATAATAGTTTTGAGGGATTAAGCATTGACACCGTTTTGGGTTAGAAAAACAGCTACTAGAATTTTTTATTGGGAAAATACACTAAAGCTTGTCCGGCAAAAATTGGCTTTCTTTTGTTGTTCTTCAAACCCTTCAATGACATTTAATGTTTTATTATATTCGATGGTTTTCTTAATTGCCATCTCATCGAAAAACAGAATAAATTTTTTGTCCTCGTTTGTCATTGTCTTTGATTTAATTCAATTATTTTTAAATATCCGATGTTAGGATTCATAAAATATCACGCAACTTCCTTTGTTTGTTCTGTTATACTATTCAGTTATTTTAACAGTAGAAACTCTCAACCTTGCAAGAATTTAAGATTTTAACTGAGAATAATTCGCATACCTCATCCCAGTCTGTTTATAAGATCGTTGAAGTGAAAAAGAGAAAACTTGTAATATCTATCTATGATACTATAAATAGATCATTATATTACGCCGATTGATACTACATCATGGCGACATATTGTGGTGATCGAAAACAGCGTGCGAAAATAAATTTTAATCATCCATATTCCACACCACAATACGTCACGCGGGAACTCGTATCATGTAATATATCTCAAAGTTGACAACAACAAAATATGATTACTTCATTTAACGGCAGCAACATAAAATCCGGATCAATCAAAGCCGGAGAGTAACAAAACACAACGGTTTTGTTTACTCAGTTAGTTTTTTAAATATTAATTATATAAGATCTTTTTCAGTTTCAACCAGTATACAGACCGAAATAATTTTGAATCTCATTCTCTTGAACTTATAGTATAAGTTACGAATAAAAACAGTCGTAAGTATTGTAAAAATTGCAAAATATTATTAGACGTTAAGTAATGTAATTTAATATATTTTATATATTTGTATAGAATAAAAAAGTAAGTGATCTTCTTTCTTTATTTATTTCAAGATAAAAAGACGATATCTTTCTGCAAAAAATTATCATATCATTACAACAGCAACAAAATCAAGAAAACTTTATAAGGAAAACTAATTATTTTCTCCACGTTTCTTTTACAGATAAGTCAGAAAACGTGTAAATTAATATATTGTGAAATATTTAAAATACTGATTTATAGATTTTATTATTTTAGTAGCTTAGTTGATATTCTTGAGACAATGAATTATTTTAGAAAATATATACCCATTATATAAATATAATGCTTTGACCTAACTTTTTCTAATCAAACACTTTTTTAACTATACTGAAATATTGAAAATTCTATATTAAAAACAAAATTATCTCATGTAATAAATATTCCCACTTTGCACCATCGAGATTTCATGTAAATTTCAGATCTATCCTATATGTACCTCTTATTCCGTGTCTGTCCCAATTTTCAATACTAGGTAGACGAGGAAGACAATACTGTTATTGTGTTCAATACAAATATAAATATAATATTTATAGTTTTTTGATTATTTATCGGGTGTAGAAAAAATAGCGTATGCAACTCTCATGTAATGGTTATTAATACACTCGCATGAACCATACGAAACTCGCCTTCGGCTCTTTTCTTATCCCGGTTAATGCTCGTGTATTAATAATCATCATTACATGATTGTTGAATAATATCCCGATGGCCTAGAAGCAATAAGTGGAGTGGATTTCAAACTATTTAACAAATAGAAGGCAAAAGGTCAAAATTAAAAACTTTGTATCTGAGGAGTTAGAAATAAAACGAGGTGTACCACAAGGAAGTGTCCTAGGTCCCTTGTTTTTTTTGATTTATATCAATGACATTGCAGACATTCAGACTAAATGTTTATTTCACTTATTTGCAGATGACGCGTTCATTTATTATTCTTCTCTAAATATAATAGATATTGTTACAATGATTAATAAGTGCTTAGAAGTTGTTTATAGATGGTGTTGTGCTAATCTATTGAATATTAATTGTAAAAAAACCAAATTCATCATAATTGGCAATGAGCAGCAATATAAACTCTTTGTAGAACAAGATCATAAAATAATGATTGGGCCTTCCGAAATTGATATGGTAAATGAATACAAATATCTCGGAGTTATTATAGATCGACAACTTAAATTTAAACAGCACGCAAACCATTTAATAAAAACAATTTCATTTAAAATAAATTATCTTTACAGATGTTCAGATCATTTATCTAAGTGGTCAAGGCTTGTTCTATTTAATTCTCTTATACTACCTCACTTCACTTACTGCTCAACAGTATTATATCTCTTAAATCAAAATGAGAGAAATCGGTTCCAAAAATTGCAGAATAGAGCTATGCGAATATTATTGTCATGTCCTAGATTGACCCCTATTGTAGAAATGCGGATATCTTTAAACTGGCTCTCAATTAAAGACATGTTCCTTTACCAGACATTAATTTTTATATAT